GTCACGAAAGAGTGAAGTTTACATACTCGTTGAAACACACCTGGATCCACAGCAACACCAGCAGACTTGCCAGTACTTCACCATCAGAGGGCGCACAGCATTTGGCACCCCAGCCCATTCCAATGAAAGCAACACCGGCACCCATGGCGGCATCCTTGTCCTTGGTGATGTCTCCTGTGGCCTGACCGCCCTTGAAGCCTACTCCAACAATGGCTGTGGATATCAAGCATTCCTGTGGCAAGCGACTGACCTCACCATCCTGGTGGCTGGCACCTACTTGAAGACAGGTGAGACCTTGCAGAGTGAAGTCAATGCCACGATCCTTGCGAGGTTGCTTGCCTTGGTACAGGCCACAAATCACCCTTTTGTGCTCTTGGGTGATTGGCAGAACAATCCAGGCTCCATAGCCAGCACGGTGCTACCGTCCAAGTTCCACTTTGAAGTTCTGGCTCCAGATGTCAGCCTGCTCTCAGGAAATGTCATTGACTATGCCTTGATCCACACCAGCTTGGCAGGCACCACTTCGATCACTACTGAATGGGCCATTCCTTGGCGGCCACATGCACTCCTCACATATCACTTCAACATCGAAGAAGCCACCAAAGAATACAGGCAGATTCAGCAATTTCCACCACTACCAGCCACACCGGACATTGACTTCCGGCCTTGGACCACATACAAGTCCACTGCCTACGAGCTTGACCTCTATGGCAACCCGCCCAATGACACCGCACAGCAGTGGGCTGACTGGCTCTCGTGCACAGAGCAATACCTCCTTCAGGAGCACCCGTGGGCACCACAAGGAAGGTGCTCCAGTCTCAGGGCCTGCCACAAACCGCTGACACCCAGCCACACAGTCACCACCTGGAAGAGAGGAAGACCGGCCTTCTGGGAGCAACTGAAGGCCCGTTTCCAACTGGCCCTCAAACAACCCACAACGCAGGCCAGAGGACCGACCAAAGGCTTCATGCAAGCCACGGCTGATGTGCCCAAACACTGGGTGGGAACCCCCACCTGGGGTCAATTTCTGGATACGTGCCATCATTGGAGGCAGTATCGTGATGACCACGCAGCCACGCTCATATGCCACACCCTTGACCATCAGCTTCAACTGGCCCACCAGGCTGCCAATGATGAAAACCATCTCCAATACAAAGCCTGGCTCCAACAAGGCTACACCAAAGGCCTGAAGGGCCTGTTCTGGCATGGGAACGACCATACAGAAGCCTGCCGCCTGATGAGAGGATGACACAAAGACTTCAAGACTGGGGAAAACTTTGGCAAATCAGGCAAGAAGATCAACCACCTGAACGACTCACACTCCAAGAACTGGCCAAGCAGCAAGGTCAACAGCTAGAGCCTTTGACTCTCAGCCAACTCACGTGGGCGCTCCGCCACCTGCCGGATAAGGCTTGTGGCCCTGATGCAGTGACAGCACAAATGCTCCGCACGGCTCCCCCACTGGCTGTCAAGGCCCTTCTCAAGCTCTACCAAGAGATGGAAACCAAGGTTCAGCTGCCCACCCAACAGCAGATGCACATGGTGGTGATGCTCCCAAAAAACGAAACCAAAGAACGGCCAATCACACCCACATCCCTGCTCTACAGGGTATGGTGCCGCCTGCGAAAGCCCTTGCTTGACGACTGGCAAAAACATTTACCAGCCACCATGCATCATGACAGAGCCCGTCCAGGAGCACAAGTGCTCCATGTAGCCCTCGAAAGGCTACTGCGACAAGAGGTGCATCGAGCAACTGGGCGATATGGAGTGACCTGCCTTATGGACATGTCCACCTTCTACGACACCATCAACCTCCAGCGACTCCAGACTGAAGCCATGAACTTGCAGTACCCTCCCCTGATGCTGGAAATGGCTTTGCAAGTCTACCATGGCCCCAAGACCATTGTTGCAGAACAAGAGATGACGCCATTTTTCACCGTCACCCATGGAGTCCCAGCTGGCTGCCCCCAGGCCCCTCTGCTGGCCAAGGCAGTCCTTGCCCCAGCACTCCAACCATGGCAGCAAGCCCATCCCAACATCCACCTATCAAGCTGGGTTGACGATGTTGGTTTTGACACAGCCAGCAAAACCCCAGTCCAGGCAGCGAAAGCCTCTCTGGCCGCCTACCGAGACCTCCATGCAAGGCTCCAGCAACTAGGTCTTCAAGTCAATCCAAAGAAGACAGCATTTGTCACCACTGACAAGGCCACTGATCGAGAACTCCGGGCTCTGCTCACAGAAAACGATCCCCAGATAGCGCCAGTCATGAGAGACTTAGGCATAGATCATCAGGCAGCCCGCAAGAGGAGGATCCCGGTCATGAAGCAGCGCATTAAAAAAGCGCACCACAGGAAAATCAAGGTGAGGAGCCTCAAAATCCCAGCACTCAAAATACGGCTGCGCCTCCATCGGGGAGGCATTCAACCGGTTGCTCTGTGGGGTGTTGAAAGTCAAGGCCTTGCACCAAGGTATCGAGCGGCACTGAGACACAGCATGGCAAAGCACTTGGGCCATCACACGGGCGGCCTATTGGATGTCATTTATGATATCCATGCCAAGCGCTACATCGACCCTGCAGACCAGGTCATCATACAGCACATCAGAGCCATCCATCACCTCATCCAAGCATGGCCACCTGACCAGCTGCCAAATCTTGAACAAGCGTGGCAATTGACCAGACAGCAGCTGCAGGAGAAACAATACCCATGGTACACAGTACGAGGACCCTTGGCAGCCACGATTGTCTACCTCATGGAATGGGGATGGCAACCTCGAGACCTACTGCATTGGCACCGGCCAGAAACCAAGCTGATGCTGGCAGAAGAGCTCCACCTTCAACAACCATGGTGGGTCATCGAGCGCACCCTCACTCGGGAAGCTCAACAGCAGCGCACAGCCAGACTCGCCAGTAAGCAACACTGCCAAGACTTGCTGACCGGACTGGACTGGCACACCTACAGGCAAGTGAGGAAGCACCTCAAACAACAACAACAGCACCACCTTGACACCTGGGTCCAGGCGGCATTGCAATACAGAGATGCGCACCAGACCAAGAACTGTCCGCACTGCCAAGTCCCAGCCACGGCAAAACACATTCTCTGGCTATGCAAGTGGCACAAATCTCAAAACCATGAACCCATGCCACCCGAGTGGATGGACCGCATTACCAGTCATGATGAAGAAAGGTTGTGGGCCCATGGATGGATACCTCTTGAACCACAAGAAGCAAGAACTCAGCAGCACCCACTCCAGGGACATGGCTGCTGGGCAGGCATGCAGGTCATCCCGCCCAACAACACTGCGGCTGGGCATTCACTCTGGATGCTACTCCCTCCACCTATGACCAGCGCAGCCAGATGTGGATCTTCGGTCTCTGTGCCCACAACATGGCTCTGGGACAACTCAAGAAGCTGGGATCCATCACTGGGGTAGCAACCGGAGAACAAACCAAAGTCCGGGCGATTCTCACCGGATTGGTCGCCCTCACACACCACACGGCTGACCATGTCAAGGTCATTGTCCAGCTGGCATCCGTCTGGGAAGCCTGGCACCATGAAAAGCATAGGCACCCCTACCAAGACATTTTGAATGACGTGCCACCCCAGGACTTCAAACGAGTCACGGTGCTATACATTAGCAAAAACACCAGGACACCGGACCAACCAGCCAATGAGCCGCAACTACGGCGAAGGCAAAGGGAAACAGCACTGGCAGCTTGGGAACGTGCCAAGACTCTGTACGACAGCAAACAGGAGGAATGGCAGGAAATCCTAGACCAAGATCACCAATTGATCTATGAGCATGCCGTCCAACGCCTCAGCAAGATCTTTGCTGACAGCCAGCACTATGTGCACCAAAAGGCTCCTAAGCACCAAGGCAAGCAAACGAAGCAATACAAAAAGGAGCTCATCAACCGCTGTCGACAGGCATGGGACGAAGAACACCACCACTGGGAGCAACACCAAAGAAGCGGATACCAATGCCGCAACTGTGGCCTACGCATGCACCAAGGCCTTACTGCTGACATCCTGGAAACCAGGTTGGCCGAGACCTGCCCTCAGAAGGTGTTCCATGAGGCAGCCAACTCGCCAGACACAGAGCAACAACTGCCCAAAAAACTCACCAGGGTGCAGCAGATCAAGGCGCTGCTGGACAACCAACCAGAGAAACCTACGCCAGGCCAACACCAACTGGCCGAAACCACTGGCTACCTGAAGTGTGTGGTGTGCAACCTCAATATACACAAGCGGGTCAATGAAGAGGCATTCAAAACTTTCATCCACAGCACCTGCATCAACCAAGCCTTTCAGGCTGCCCACCAAGGCCACCCAAGCCATGCACTCTGGCAACTTGGCGAGCGTGTCAAATGCACGCAATGTGGCACTCAATGGAACTTGGATGGGCAACATCGCATCATAGCGACACAGGCCTTTCACAAGCCATGTCGAGGAGCCGGTGGGAAACACACGCCACCAATAAGCACCTTCTTTCACAAGAAGCAAGACAAGTCAAGCAGCCAGAGCTCAGAGTCTCTCCAACCTGCTGCAGCAGCCAACTCTGGTCCTACGCCGAAGCGGCTGCACTTCCCCACGGCCTTGGACGAAGCGGAACAGGAAGCCCTCACTCACGGCATGTCAACCCTGGCCATGACACCCCGCCAATCAGCTGACACAGCCGAAGAGGACAACCTTCCTGACATAGCAGTTGACTTCTTTTAGAAGTACCACCATGGCACATGCAGAAGACCAACTGAAGAGGCCCCGAAACTCCTGAGGCACAAGCCCAGCCTGAACCGGCCAAATGGCCCAACTAAGCAACTCTAGGAAAAAAATACATACATACATACATACATACATACATACATACATACATACATA